GGGGGGGGGGGGGGGGGGGCGAAGGCACAGAAACGAGAACAGGCCGGCGCCTAGAGAGTGGTGGCTGACTCCAGACCCCGCTCCTGGAAGTACCGGTGGGGCAGGCGGGGGCGGACTCGGGCGCCTTCGCTGAAGTAGGACGTGATCCTCCCAGGTCCCTCCTGATCCCCTGTCAGTGAGTCCTCCCTGTGGGAGAGGCAACACTGACCACTCTGGGGTGACGGGGGGAGCCCTGGCCTCCCTCCCTCCTTCCTCACAGCACCTCCAGGGCACCCACCACATAACGCCTTCTGCCTCCTTCTCCAGGATGCTCTGGGCCGTGCGCCAGCTGAACCGGACAAACTGGGGGAAGCCGAACACGGGCTCCACATGCTTCCTCAGCCAGGCTTTGGTCTTGGGATCTGGAAGACAGGAAGGGGTGGGGCTGGCAGTGCTGATGGGCCCCGACCCCTGACACGATGCCCGAGTTCCTCACGCTGGCATCTCAGGCCTCCCGAGTACCCGAGGCACCTCCGCTGTTTGAGGCCGTTCCTGCCTCGGAACCTTTGCACAGGCAGCACCCAGACTCATCACCTGCCGACAGGTGCTCAAGGCACAAGTTTAGGGAGACTGCCTCTGAGACATGTCTTCGCCCACTCAAGGACAAGAGTCATTAAACCAGCATCTGCAGACCAGGGGGTCAATGCTCATCATCCCCAAGTAACTATGAGCTCCGTGGGGACAGAGAGGTCTTCCTTTGTCTTGTTCATGGCTATATCCCCAGGGCCCAGACCTGCATGGCGCATACAGGAAGGACTCAGTAAGCACCCATCTGCCCATGCTTCCCCGGGCCTCAGAAGGACAAGAGGGTTCCCTGAACCCAGTCACTCGCTCTTTAAATCCACTCACGGTGAGGGGTGGGCACACATTCATCTACCACACAGACAACGCCTCATAACTGGGAGGAAAGAGTAGGTTTACACGGGGGCTATTGGACGTCAGCTGACATCCCTCCCCCCTGCCCCCTTTCCGCTTAACAAACAGAGACGCCCGCCAAGGGTGTGAGGCCCTCACTGGGGCTCCAGAGAGAAAGTAGGGATGGAGGGAGAAGGGAGGAGAACGCCTGCCCACGAGACTCCGGCTCTGCCTCACGCTGGCCATAAGCAAGCGGCCCTCCTGTCTGAGAAGGCCGAAGTGTGCTCCAGCCTGCCTCGTTGGGGCTGTCGCCAATGTCGCCACCTCAAGGCGGCTCCAGGCTGCTCACCATTGGGGTAACCGGACCCATAATCGGCGTCCAGGCCCTGGAGTTTTTCCACAAAGTGCCAATTCTTCACAGCCTGGTCACGGGCCACCTGTGGGGAAGACAAAACATCGGGCTCTCCCTCCCCCGGAGCAGGCACACCTGCCCCCTTGCCCCAGGAGATGCCAGAGGCTGGCTACGGCCAGCAGGCGCCTGACCTTGGCACAGATACTGGCGGCGCTGACCACAGGGTACAGGGCATCCGCTTTGGCCTTGACTGTCACCTCGATGCCGGGAAAGCGCTGCTGCAGCCGCTCTTGGTAGGTGTCTGGCAGCCCCACGGTGTCCACAAACACCTGCCACGGTGACAGAGATGTATTCGTTCAACAGACATCCGGGGAAACAACCGAGCCGGCCTCGCAGCGTGTGCACTGGATGCTCCCGCTGCCTACAATACTCCTCTCAGCTCATCCCCAGGCTGTAGCTTTCCCTGAGGCATCTCAGCTCTAAGTCCCCTCCCGGGGCACCTGGCTACCTCAGTTGGTACAGCAGGCGCCTCTTGATCTCGAGGTCATGAGTTTGAGCCTCACGTTGGGCACAGAGAGTATTAAATAAGCAAATGATTAACAAGTCCCCTCCGAAAGAGGCTGTCCCTGTTCAGGCTGCATCCATTCTACATTTACTGAGCACCTACTATATGCCACGGCTGCACTAGATGCCAAGAACATGGCAGGAAAACACACCAGATAAAAATCTCTTTCTTCGTGGAGTGGATGCCCTGGCGAGGTCCACAGACAAGAAACAGGATAAACAAGGGCGCCTGGGTAGCTCAGGATTTCAGCTTGGGTCATGATTTTACAGTTCGTGAGTTCGAGCCCCGCAATGGGCTCTCAGTTGACAATGCAGAGCCTACTTGGGATTCTCTCTCTCCCTCTCTCTCTGCCCCTCCCCCCTGCTCACATTCGTTCGTTTACTCTCTCTCTCTCTCAAAATACATAAGTAAAGTGGAAAAAAAAAAAAAAACAAACAAACAGGAGGGGTGCCTGATTGGCTCAGTCACTAAATGAACATTTGACTTCAGCTCAGATCATGATCTTGAGGTTCGTGGGTGTGAGCCCCATGTCAGCCTCTGTAATGACATCACGGAGCCTGGAGTCTGCTTGTGATTCTATGCCTCCGTGTCTCTCTGCCCCTCCCCAACTCACACTGTCTCTTTCAAAACTGGATAAACATTAAAAAAAAATTTTTTTTTAATTTTTTTTTTTAACGTTTATTTATTTTTGAGACAGAGCAGCGAACGGGAGGGCAGAGAGAGAGGAGACACAGGAATGGGAAAGCAGGCTCCAGGCTCTGGGGCCGAGCCCCATCGCTGGGCTCAAACTCAATGGACCAGCGAGATCGTGACCTGAGCTGAAGTCGGACGCTTAACCGACTGAGCCACCCAGGCGCCCCGGAAAAAAAAAAAATTTTTTTTTTTAAACAGGATAAATAATAAAGGATAGAAGAGAGTTGGGAGGGATTTTCATTTTATTTTTTATTTTATTTTTTTAAACATGTATTCATTTTTGAGAGACAGAGCGTGAGCAGGGGAGGGGCAGAGAGAGAGGGAGACACAGAATTCCAAGCAGGCTCCAGGCCCTCAGCTGTCAGCACAGAGCTCAATGAGGGGCTGGAACTCATGAACCGTGAGATCATGACGTGAGCCAGAGTTGGACGCTTAACCGGCTGAGCCACCCAGGTGCCCCTATTATTGTCTTTTTTTTTCAAGTAAGCTCTACGTCCAAAGCGGGGCTTCAATTCACAACCCAGAGATCAAGAGTCACGTGCTCTACTGACTGAGCTAGCCAGGAGCCTGGGAACGGGTTATCATTTTAAACAGTGGTAGAAGAGATTTGGAGAAGGTCACTCTGAGGCGGTGACATTTAAATAAAGGCCTGAAGGAGATAGGGAATGACCATGTGGAGATTCCAGAAAGAGGATTCTAGGCAGAAGGAACAGCTGGTGCAAAGGCCCTGAGGTGGGACCATGCTGAGTATGCTAGACAGCAGCAGGGAGGCCTCAAGGCTGGAGTGGAGAGATGGGGTCAGTGATCTCCATAGCTGCTATTCTCAGAAATCACCTTTATTATTTGCTTACCAGCTGACCATCTGTGTCCCCTGACTTGGCCATGAACCACGGAATGCAGGGCCCTTGTCTATCTGTTCCAGTACTGCACTGTCAGCTCCACATGCCAGTCCTGGACCTCAGCCACCTCTGCAGCAAGGTCTCCCTTGTCACATTCCCTATCTCAAGTGTATTTGCCCTTGTTATTATCTCAAAACAGTCTGTTTTTGTTTTGTTTTGTTTTTTTTGGTTTTTTTGCCTCAGAGTATTGGATACCACGCCAACTTAGATTTCCCTCTGGTAATTTAATCTCATTCTCTTCCTCTTGACACTGAGCTTCCCAGGTTTAATTTCTACCTGGATCAAAAAATTAAACGTTGAGATTTACATTTCAAAAGAGGACTATTTGCTGCACTAGGAGCAGATTGTAAAGGATAGGCCTCAAAGTGGGAGGAGGACGGGGCAGGAATCCAGGAGAGGAGGGGCCCTGGGCTAGGACTGAGGCTGTAGGCAGGTGGACAGATACAGATTTGCTCTGGACTCCGAGCCTTCAGAATAAAGAGATACATTAAATGGGGGTGGGGCTGGGGGCTCCTCCATGGTCCTGGGTGAGGACACACGTAGGGTAGGAAGAGGAGCAGGAAGTCAAAGGCAGCAACGAATATTCCTGAGGTCATCCAGATGTCTGACCCTGAATCATCCACTACACTTGTATACCCCCATTTTATCCTGAGGTATTCAAATGTGGGCAACCCAACAGCTCACCTGGGCAACTTTCACACCCTGGTCCAATGCAAACTGTACCAGCCCAGTGGCTGTATCATGCGAGAGGGAATTCAGGTTGTACTTGACCCTGCAGTGGGAGACAGAGCCCAGTCAACCTCAACCTCAATCCAGCTACCAATCCCTTCCAGCCCACCCTGGCCCCTCCCGGATGCCCCTCACCGCCCAAGCATGCTGGTAGAGATGAGGTTTGGAGACAGCACGTCCAATGCCCAGCCCACAAAGTCCCCGTCCTCCTGCATTTTCACAAAGAGCCTGTCTCGCTCGCTCTCCGATAGGGTCTTTGAGTCTGGGAGGAGGATTGGGAGAGAAGGGAAGTGACTGGTTCCCCCAGTTCCTGCTCTCTCCTCCAGTTTGCCCCCGCCCCTCCACATGCCCATGAACCCCCTCCCCAGACTCACACCTCGGGCTCACCTGCCACTTTCAGGGCTTCCAGATCTGCCAGACGAGACAAGGGGCAATAACAGATGGCGTAGACCATGGGGCCTGGGGAAACGGGTGTCCAACCAGTGAGCCGTGAAAACCGTTATCCTTATTCCATCATCACCGCTTTTCCCGGTGCCATCACCACTAGTACCCGCCTCCCTGGGTAGGGTCCAATCCCGGCTCCCGTTTCATTGCAACTAGCATTCCCCTTATCACACCCCTCCCCCTGCCCAGCCCTGGGGGCGCACCCAGCACGGGGCCCCGTCCCGCTTCATCGACACCCAGGATGCAGGGCTCCTTGCGGCACACCGCAGGCACAGGCGAGTTCAGGCGACAGCGGCCCGTACTGTCTCTGTCCAGCTCGCTGAGATCCATGCTGCCTGTGCCGCCGCTACAAGCCTCAACAATGAAATCTGCGGGCCCAGGTCTCGGCGCGCGATTTCCGCGGGTCCGGAAGCGGCTCTCGCTCCCGACCAATCGGTGCGCAGGACACGCCCCCGGTGCGCCTGCCGCCGTTAACGTTTGCGCAGTGGCCGCCGAAGCGCCTGCCGTGTGGCCTCTTGGGAATTGTAGTTCCCAAGGCCGACCGCCGAACTCTTCGTTTGGGGAACGGGGTGGGCGGGGTCGCTTTCCAAGCTCCGCCCCTGAATCTCTGAAGCCCCGCCCGTCGAGGCTGGTAGTTGGATGGAGAAATAAAGGGGAAATTGATGCGGGTCTCGGAGAATTCCACCCAGTCAGGACCTAGAAGGTCAAATACCACTATTCAGCCAGAATAAAACAGTGTCTACATCACTGGGTCCCTGTCTTGCACAGTCTAAGCCTTTTGGACTAGGTATTCCCACTTCCACTGAGCTCAGGCCTCCAGATTTGAGGTCCTCCAACTCCCTCTCTCTCTCCGTACTTCACCCCGACCCTCTCCCCCCACCCCCTGCTTCCTACCCTCTAATTGGGGCTAAGCCTCTCCTCCCCCCCTCCCCCCCAACTGTGATCCCAGATCTCAACAGACTTCTGCTCAGAGTCTGTGCCTACCAGGCAAGGCCATTCCCCCCAACTCAAGGTTCATGTCCCCCAATTCTCTAATCTCAGCGGGGCTCATGTTCTCGGCCTGGAGGTCCCTGACCTGCAACAGGCTCATACCCCTTCCTCAGGGTCACAGTTCTCCATCTCCGGTTCCCCCTCCCTGCCCCTCACCATCTTTCTTTCTTTCTCCCCGGCTATCAGTGGGGCCCAGGGTTCCTGACTCAGCTCTTCCCTCTCCCGCCATCCTCAATCCTCAGCCCTAGGGCCCCCCCTCTCATTCCCACCCCACCACCCCGCCCTTCCTCTCTCCCCGCCCACCCTGGGAACTCTCAATCCCGGACTAGACAGCCCGCCCTGACCCCGCCTCCTCTGCGCCAGTCTCTCACCCGGGTTCAGGGCCTCCAGTCGCAATCGGTCGGTTTGCAGGACATACAGTCACGTTGTCTGCAGGGCCGCACTTGCACCAGATTTTCGCGGTCCATGAACACCGGGCCCGGCGCTGTGCCCACCACCTCGCGGCTGCGCTCTTGCTTGCCCAGGTCACAGAAACAGCGCCACTTTCCCCACGGGCCAAGGATCGAGTCCAACACTTCTAGGGATGGAGGGCCAGGTAGGGGGGAACCTACCCCCCTTGCCTTCCTCTAGGAAGGCAGGAGGATAAAGACACTAACAAATGACATCTTCTGTTTGCTGGGCTCTGCCTCTGTGCCAGGCACCCCACCATAGACTATTTCAGTTTCTCTTCCCCCATTGTTCCGGGTGGGTAAACTGAGACCTTTAGAAAGCAAGTCACTCTTTGAGCTCATACATCTGGTGTGTGGCCCCGAGGGACTGCAAACTGACACTTCCCGCTTATGCCAGCCTGCCCAGTTGGGAGTGTGATACACCATTGGGTGCCCACCACTGATGTTGGGCACCTGACTGACCGAAGCTGACTCCCTCCGGTCTTCACGGAGGTGATACTGGGCCTGTTCAGCAAGCCCTGACCAGGAGGCCTGCCAGGTGGTAAATCAAATGATATAATTGGCATAATGAAGGTACTGACAGCCTGCGGCGATGTGCTAGCTTGTACTACACAAACCATTATTATGACCACTTTTAAAGCAGCTCCAACCTTCTTTGTGCTTATCGGAGGCTCTTTTACAAGGCTCTTTTACAGACTCCTCCCTGTGCCCCTAGGTAACAGGTCTTATCCCAACTCAGCAGCTCACAGACACCCCTAACACTTCATACCCACCAAGCCTCTGCCAGACAACCCCAGCCTCTTCCTATCCCCCCCCCCCCCCCCCCCCCCCCC